AAAAAAAAAAAAAAAAAAAAAAAAAAAAAAAAAAAAAAACGCACTAGACCGTCATAATTTTGCCGGCAGAATTACGATTTTACCAGACAATAACAAACGGTATTGGAATCAAATTTGCAGAGGTAGTCTATTTCTGAGATAATTCAGTATTATCAGCACTATGCCGTCACTGGTATTAACCTTGTCACCATTGGTGCCGGATCTACGTGCGTTTTGCATTACTACATGCCACACCTTTACAATAAAAAGATATTCTTCATCCAAACGATGGCAGGCGCGTCAACAAAAGGATCGCTATACGCGGGAAGCGACAGTGCAAGGATTGAAGAGTCGGGCAGCTTTTAAATTATTACAGGTAACACCTGAACATGCTCTTCCACCATACATGTGCCTATACTGACACTTTTGTTCGGCTCCAAGATCGATGAGAAGTACCGTATTTTCAGAAGCGGCCAGACCGTAGTTGATTTGGTAGGACGTTATTCTAAAGAACTGCCATTTAATACAATTTCACACTGATTTTGTAATTCTAGGGTTATGCTCCTGGTTCTTGGTCGCAGGTGTGTTCTAATCCCGTTGCCTATTCCTGGACACAATTATCTAACAAAATTATTTGTACAAAGGTAGCAGTCGATCGCACCAAACCGAACGGCCGAGTCCTCGGTGTCGACATAATACCAGCACAACCGCCCAAAGGTGTATCTACGATACAAGGCAACTTTCTGTCAGCAGAAGTACAGAAATATGTCCAAGACTTTTTGCGCGATCCAAGGAGAGGCAGACCTTATGAAGACGGGTACATAATGCCTGACAGAGGCTCCGAAGACTTGTCACAACATGCTTTGGATATCAAAACAGGGAATTCAGGAGCGAATCAAGAGAGTGATTCAGAGCTCAGGACAGTAGATGTGGTTCTAAGCGATATGTCTGCACCCTGGCCCCAAATAAGTGGGTTTTGGAAAAGGAGTCTAAGTGAGCCCTACCACAGGATGATGAATACCAGCGGCGTAAACTTCAAAGATCATGCTGGGAGCATGGTATGTGCTTTTCACAAAGAATTCTGCGAACCTCTATTCAACACTGATAATCAAATTTGCGGTTAGGACCTATGTAATGCTGCATTACAGTTCGGTTACAACGTCCTCAAGACTGGTGGGAATTTTGTCTGCAAATTCTACCAAGGAGCCGAAGATAAGGAACTCGAAAAGCAGCTCAGAGAACTGTTCCGAAGAGTCCATAGACTAAAGCCAGAATCATCGCGTAACGTATGCGCTGTGCATGAGAGTACCATCGGCGTCCGCTGATAACGTCTGTAGGAATCAAAGGAAGCATACTTCATCGGTCTCGAACGGAGAAGCTAAATCTTGGGGAATCAATGTGCATGCATTGGGCAGAACGCCATAAGGACCGCGCAGTACTCCTCCACTAGCTGCTTGTGTCTAAAAGCATAATTCAATCCTATAGTATCTCTGCTTCTTCGTTCTCAGAACCTTCATCCCATTCGACATCATCTACAGCCGCTTCCGCTGTCAATTGAACCTTTTACAGCGAGTCAGTGTCTGTGATTGTAGGCGCGTAGCATAATAGACTCACCTCTCTCAGGCCGCTCAATTCCTCCACGTACCCAGTCTCATTCAGAGCTTTTTGGACAAACTCCCACCCCTCTTCCTTATAGGCATTGACTATATTACCAGAGCAGGCACTGCAGCATTTATAGCTCCTGCCTACGATTGAGATGTTCTCGAAAGTTGAAAGGAATCCTCTGATCTGGTGTGGCACAAGCCCAAGCGGGTGGTCTCCTCGATCTTCTTTGCTAGATGTTGAAGCTGGTGCCGCAGAACCCTGCGGGTGTTGAAGGAGTGACACAAGCAATTCAACCAAAAGAGCTGATGCTATCGCGGCCACACCAGGGCGGGTGACAGTGCATTGCTGGTCGAGCGTCTGATCCTTGACGGACTGCGAGATAGTCAGTACTTGTTTGAATACATTGGTTCAGAATATCTAACTCACGTTCATTGGCGCAACAACGTCATTGCAAAAATAGCAACCAAGTTCTGACGTCAGGTCAGAATAATTGGCTGTTCCATGACGCATGACTACGAATGAATCGAAGCCAAGTGCTGCATTCATCACAATTTTGCCCGCAGCTTTCCCCATCACGGTTGGTAACCAGCGTGACTCTCGTGTGTCCATGAGCAGGAATATGGCATCATGCTCATCTATCAAGTTTTCCAAAGCTTCGAATTCCGCCCGAGCTTTTTCGTTATCCATGATTGGATGACCTACCATCGGAACGGCTAGAACATGTCCAGTAGAGTCGACTCCAGGGTAGATTTCCGACAGAGCCTGCGAGGCACGATGTGCCTTTTTCGCACCGCCTTCCAAACAGTCTCTAAAATTAAAGAGTGGCTGTCTCACAGGATTGGAGAAGGATACAGATCCACTATCCACAAAAGTGATTTTAGTGACACCCCAGCCCTGTAATCCATGCTTAGTCTGCATTTCCACTTTTGGATTTCATTCGTCCTCATTCAAGGCCTTACCATTAAATTCCGGGCAACGTAACTTCCAAGAGTACCTGCACCAAGCAGAAGGCATTTGGTGCGTTTTATCTTCTCGAGGTCCAAGTTAGGGCTGATCCGCCATTTCATAAGTTTGAGGTTAAGGTCAACAGACTGATCCGCCAATCTGATAGTAAAATTATAAGTAACTTGAATAATCTTATCAACGCCGTACCAGAGCAATTTACCTCTTTGGATCCAGATATTCTGTCAGGTCAACTACCTTTCCTGTCAACTTGCCAACAGCATTGCGTTCCCAGCCAGTGACCTTTGGCATGGAGGGATGTGGATGCTGTGACTCAATGTCTTTGGGTGACGTCGAATGTTTCGACCTCAAGACTAATATAGTGCTGCGGCCTTGATCGGGATTTAGATGTGAATCGCGATATCTAAGAATCTGGACTTTATCAAGACCCCAGCGTTGTTTCACGAGTACCAGAAGGTTCCTTAACATCCACCCAGGTGCACTGTCATAATTGGAAGGGTCCGCAAAGCAGATGTAAGAGTCTTCGAATCTTACTTTGCTAAAGAAACCGTTCTCATAGCTCGAAAGAGGCCCTATTTCCCAATGAAACTCGAGGACGTCCACCGAATTAACAGGCAGATCTGCTTTGCTAGCAATCTTCCGAATCTTTCGGGCTAGGAAGAAGCCTCTTTGGCGAGCGTCTACACCACCACTCCAGGATTGGACTGCATCCACAAGTGCCGAACTCTCAATGGAAGAGAGGCCCCTCGTACTTGATGGCTTGGTATTGCCCTCATTCTGATTTAAGCCGACAGAATCATCGGATGTGTCAGAAGGTACCCAAGCAGGTTCTGAATGTATTGCTGGAAACGCAAACCAGTAGTGAAATTTGTACTTCTTGAGATCTGCAAAAGAGAGAACCATAAACGAGGAGAGCAGTGACGGGCAGGAATAGACGGAACCGTCATTGATAGCATCCCATATCTGTCGATATACAGAATTATCATTAGCTACTTCTTGTCAATGGTGTTGCTTGTCTGGTCAGCTCACAGTCTTCCCAGCTTGTTGAAGTATATGCGTTTTGTCTATATTTCGGTATTGCTCGATGGTATTAACGTTCTTGATTAACCCTTCAGCCCTATAGTAACCTGTCGGAACCCTATTGCCATTTTTTATGAGCCAAAGTCGCCCCGTAAATATTACCACTTGCAAACGGTAAAGCAAACTCACTCGTCACTTGAGAGCGCATTCCCATGGATCTGCATACGGGAAGAGACATTAGGGAGATCTGAAGGGCGAATTTCGTAAAGACCCTGGACCTTCCGAGCCGAATCATCGAGGCGGTCATTGTTAATCTTTGAAGATGCCAGAGCGGTATAGAAAGGCAACTCTATATCTGAAGCGAACGGAGTGTACTGCATATTGTCCTGTATTTCTTCCTTTGCCGATAATCTTGGTCCTAGTTGTGGTATGGCAGGAGGGGACAACGCCGCTGTTGGCGTTCAGCGAGAATGCCAGGCTTCCTTGTAGATCACTAAATCACTCCGTTTTGATCAGAGGTTTTGAAAATTATGAAGTGTCTTTGCTTCCCAAACAAGAAGATAGAAGCAGACTTCAAAATCACACTCTGGACTGAAGTACAGTTACAAGTGTATGGCTTCTATGGTGGGGCGTGATAAGACATTAGTTATCACCTGGCCAATGATGTAATCACTAGTGGTGTCTGTCGGGGTAGATTCAACAATGCACCATCAATAGTAGCACTCAGAATGATAAGAGCTGAAGAACAAGGAATATGACCCTGGTAAACTAGGAATAGTGCTGCTTTGGAGGCTGACCTGAAGTTCATGCCACTACTGGTGACCTCGGCAGTCTGTTTATTGTACTTCGTACTTCGTACATGGATAATGATATCTTATCTCACACCCTTTTTTTTTT